AGAAGACCCCCTCCACACCCATCTCAAAAGGACCAAGCTCCAAATCATCATTACTGACATTATAGCAGTTGATGATAGTAATGGTCTTTTGATGAATAGGATGGAGTTGAAGAATGATCGCACGGAGCAATAGGACCTCGTACTGGTTGACAAGATGGGAAAATAGATGTCCATCCAACCCCTTATTGATAAACTTTCTCACTATTAATGATGCGTTTACCGTCCGTCATCAGCTGCCTTCGATACTTACTTAGATACTTAGATGGCCTAACTTCACCTGTCATGCAGACTACAGTACTGTATTAATCCGTTTCTGTCTCTCGCTAGCGTCATCCACGATGTTGGTATTGAACTCCAGCGGCGACGCGCGAGGTCCAGATACATCACTCGTTACCAGCTGGAGATTCAGCTGGTCCATCCGTGCAACAAACACGTCAGCCCATCTGCTCGGTGGCCCCCTCGACGACGTTTTGCTTCGCGAGGAATCCATTCCAGAGTTCTTTTTGTCCACGTCGTCTATCCTTCTCATTGTATGACCAGCCCATCGATGCTTTGCCTTAGAGACGTATTCCGCTGGTTCGCGAAGACGAGACATTGATCTCATATCTGAACTGCGAGATAATGAGTAAGTCGGTTGTACTTCAGAAGACGTCGTTCCACCGCTTTATGAGGGAGAACAGTTGAACCGAAAAGGTGCTTGGAGCTCTGTGTCCGTCAGCTGGTCTGTGCTTCCTTTAGCGAAGCGGCCCAAGCTGCTGTTTGCCTCCTATTTAGTTCTTCTTTCAGGTCGTTCTCCATGTTCATCGAACGCCCGAGATACACGTAAGAAGATCTCTCCACGATTGGAGAACCTTCTAATTCCATTTCCTGATCCTCACAAAAAACGTCTTCATGAACAGAGTCTTCTTCCGGTTTATTTTTATTCCTACCCGCTTCCCTACTTCGTTTAGTACCTTCAAAATTGTCTCCGCTTTAGTGATATTACTCGAGAACAGAACAGTCATCCGCAAAACGAAGGTCTGAGAGAAATCTCTCATAAACTCGATACCTCTCTCGTTCCAATCCAGTAATAATTTCATCACCCACTGCAATGCGGCGGTAAAAAGCATTGGCGACACGGTGTCGCCTTGTCGAATCCTCTTCAAAATTCGCAAGTTAAGGGGACGATGGAGAAGCTGTACCGTTGTAGAGCAGTTCTTATAGCAGTCGGCCAATATTCTGATGGGCTCACCACTTGGTGAGCGCTGACAATATGGCATTCGTCTCGACGCTGTCAAACGCTTTCTCATAATCAATGAAGGTTAGGATGAGAGATAAGCTGTACTCTCGGCGAACCCCGATAATCCTCGAAACTGTCTGGATGTGATCACGCAGCTGAATCCCTGGCGAAATCCAGCTTGTTCTACACGTTGGGCTTCATCCAGTGTCCTTGACATGTGAGCGAGAATATTGAAGAGCTTGTAAAGCACCCTCAGCAGGCATATTGGACGGTAGTTCCGAAGATCCTTCCTAACGCCCTTCTTACTAAGGAGGATTGTTTGAGAGGCTCTCTTGTCGGGGAATCTTTAATTTTGAAGGTAGGATGTTAGATATTCCGCAGGTATCTCGTGTAGGTGATGTCTTGCAGCTCGTAAGAGGTCGGCCAAAATACCCGGTCCCAGAGCCGTGGCTGCCTTCATGGTCTGGATTGCGGCGCGTACAGCAGGTAGAATCCGTGGTGGTATTTCTCCAGTGAGAATAATGGGGTTTGACACGGATGTTGACGAGCAAAAGAGATTGGTGTACAATCTCTTTGTAATCAATTCCATCTTTTGTCGGGAAGATGTGCGAGTCCCGTTTTCGTTTAGTAATGCTGTCAGCGAAACACGATAGTCGAGAAGGTCCCTGCGGTACTTCTCTAGACCTCTCCCTCCTTGCGCTGCTTCTAAAAGTTTCAACTGCCTGTACTTTCGTAGATCTTCTTGCAAACTTGTTCTGCAACTGATATTGGCTACTAGTCGCTCGAGATGTGATGCAGTCGGATCCAGCCTCAATGCTCTCCTCCTCTCTAGCAGA